TGTATGTGCACGTGCAGTGGGTATATGCACGTGGATCTCATGTGACTCCCAGCAGCTCTTGGGGGTAGAGGGGAAGTTAATTAGCAGGCACTAACAGGCTAGCTAGCAGGGTGGGGCCAGAGGCCCACAGAGGTCTTAGTGGGGGAAGCAGACCCGAGCCTCACTCTTGCAAAGAGGATCAGATACCTGGGAAGGCTGGGGGAGGAATGAAGCATTCTGAGTGAAGGGTCTTTGTCTTTATAGGAAGTGCTTGCTAGTTGCTAAGGAACTGGGCGTCTTCCCTGTTTTTCCACCCAAGGCTTTGCTTAGCTTGGGAGGGGGGTTCTGGGATGGAGCTTGAGGCTCCCTTGGCAGTAGGTTCTACCCGTGGGGCTGCCGAGCTCTGATGGGTCTCTTGGGGAAGATTCCTGTGGGAGAGGTGCTTCCTTACTCTAGGTCTCACTGCAGCGTTGGGGAGAACAGGTGCGGTGGAGGTAGGGAAAGGAGAGGAAAGCACATGTTTACGGAACAGCCTGCAAGCTAGGCATTGTGCTCAGGTGTCTCCACTGCTAATTCTCAACCATCGTAACCTAGCTTGGGAGGAAGGCATTTATTTCCATTGTACTGTTTATTTCACCTGAAATAGGTCTGAAAGAGTTCAGTGAGATGTTTCAGGTCACTAGGCTGCCCCAGTGGTAGATAGTCTATGTGAACTGAGGCCTCTTTGGTGAGAAAATTTGTGTTACAAATACACTACCAGCCATGCCTGGTGGTGCATGCCTGTAATACAGCTGCCCAGGAGAGAGAGTCAGGAGGATGGGACAAGGCTCAAAGACAGTTCTGGCAAGTTATCAAGAGCCTATCTCTAAAATAAGCTGGGTGTAGTGGTGCATATCTGTAATCTCAACTACTTGAGAGGAGAAGGGACAAAGGGTGATTTTGATCCAAAGCTAGTTGTGAGAAAATCATGAGACCCTGTCTAAGAAACAAATGAAAGGGCTGGGAATGTGGTTTAGTGGTAGAGTGCTTGCCTCCCATGCATGTAGCCCTGGGTTTGATTCCTCAGTACCACATAAACAGAAAAAGCTGGAAGTGGTGCTGTGGCTCAAGTGGTAGAAGTGCTAACTTTAAGCAAAAGAAGCTCCAGGACAGTGCCCAGGCCCTATGTTCAAGCCCCAGGACTAGCAAAAAAAAAAAAAGAAATTAAAAACAAAAAGGACTTGGAATTATGGCTCAAATGGCACAATGCTTGCTTAGCAACATGAGGCTTTATATTCGTTCCCTAATTCAGCAAAGACCAACCAACCAGCCAACAGAATGCATCACCAAATGTATATATTAAAGTCTTCTTATTTCAAGGCTGCTCAGTTCTAATACCTGGATCCATTGCTATCAGGACTAAGCACCATCACCACTGTCACCATCACCACACTATCTCTACCATTATCATCACCGCCACCGTCATAATTATTATCGATACTATGACCACCATCACCGTCACCATCACCAGTATCATCACCTGTGCATCTTCCTCAGTGGCTTTCTCTCCTTTCCCACCTTTCTTCCTAAAGCAGCACATAGGTATGTGGGGGCAGGTAAGAGGAGTGACTCAGTGAGCTGAGGTAGTGGCCTTAGGTGGCTGGGGATGGGTGGTAATAGGTCTTGTACTCAGCCAGGCTGTTGCTTTGAGTATTCAGAAGCTCTAACCTTCCTCATAAATCATACCTGGTCCAGGATGGCTAAAGCTTTAATATCTGGAACTTCCAGCCTTCCCTCTTTGGCCCAGTCTAGCTCTCGAATGAATCAGAGACCTGACTTTTATTTTATATTGCCCAAAAAGTAAATTAGAGTGTTGTTTACCTCTAAATACTAGTCAGAGGGCTTGAGTTAACATCAGGTTCCAGCACTACCATTTAGTGAGCAGAAGATACATTCCTTAAACTTAAGGGAATCTGTTGCCTTCCTTATCTCTCCTCAACCTGCATTAGTAGACTGTTGTATGAATAGGGAGGAAGAACCAGGTAGACTAGGAACTGGATATATTACATGATACTCACGCAAAACTTTTGATAGTGCCTGGTAAGTAGAACGCTCTCAAGAAATGGAATTAGATAATGATGATGACAAAATGTCAGTCTTCTCCCTCCTCCTCTTCCTCTTCCTTCTCTTCTTCTCTTTTAGGGCTGATATTGGGACTTGAAATCAAAGCCTCGGCACTGTCCCTTAGCTATTTTGCTCAAGGCTGGTGTTCTACCATTTGATCCCCACCTCTACTTCTGGCTTTCTGGGGGTTAATTGAAGATAGGAGTCTTGTGGATTTTCTTGCCTGGGCTGACTGCTATCTGTGAGCCTCAGGTCTCAGCCTCCAGAGTAGCCAGGATTACAAGTTCAAGACTCCAGAGCATGTCAAAAATGTCAGTCTTCTTTTTCTCTGATCACAGGTCAGAATGTTCCTTCATGTTTTTCTTGGTTGCTTCATTGGGGATCTCAAAGCAATTTGCATGTTCCTTTTGTTTCCTCTTGGAGGTAGAGAAAACAGAAGGGGTGAGAGACCCAAAGGACCCTGCAGGTGAAAAGCAGTCAAGGCTGGGTCCCCCCAGGTCCTTCATGGCCCTCCGCCCTCTGCCCCAAGCTGTCCTTTGCTGTGGTTTCCAAGGATGGCCTGGCTTCAGCCTAGAGCTGAGCCAGCTGTGGTGGGTTTTTTTTTCTACTTTTGGGGGCCATGTCTTCCCTGCAACTAAAGTCAAAGCTCCAAACATCAGGGCAAAAGAAAGGGAGTGGGGTGGGGGGAGGGAAAGAAGCAAGCTGATAATTTCCTCGAAGGATAAACATCCGATTTTTTTTTCCCTTACTCAAAATAAACACACTAGCCACAAGGAATTAAAAGCAGAAGAGGGAGGATATGTCTGGATTCGGGGGTGTTTTAAGCAAGCTGACCTTCTATTTATCCTGGCACCGGGCACCAGCCAGAGCTGCCAGTTACACCATGCACTGGGTGGGGTGTGAGCAGTGGAGGAAAGTCCCAGGGGATAGGGGACCCAAACAGTTTCTTCCAAGGCTTCTTTCCATGACAGTGTAAATGGGATCCTTGCTCTTGCTTCTTCTTTGAGCTCTCCTTGCAGGCTTTCCTGGTGGGGTTGAAGGAGTGGGGAGGTTGCTTTTGTCCTGGGCTGCCATCCATGCCCTTTAGAGCCTAAGCATTTGCTCCTCGTATTCAAGATAATGCTTGGATCTCAAAGTACTTGGCCCACTTGAGTCACCAATGTCTCTTTGACTTACTAACTCCTAGAGGAAGAGTTGGGAGGGGGGGGGGTTCGGGAGGGGGAGAGGGAGGGAGGGATTGGAGAAGGGATACAGAAGACTAGAGTAGAAAGAAGAGAGCTGAGAAGCCATGGCTTAAAGTCTGCGTGGGGCCAGCCTACAGATGTCTCCAGGGAATCCTTGGGTGGGAAAGTAAAAAGGGGTACAGAGGAATCTGTGGTGCTTAGATGCCAATACAAAATGAGATTCCTCACAGCTGTGTGTGTGTGTGTGTGCGATTTGAACTTGGGAGCTGGGTACTGTCCCTTATTTTTTTTTTTTCCATTCAAGATTTGGAATCACTTGGGCCACAACAGCTCCACTTCTGGTTTTTTGGTGGTTAATTGGACATAGGAGTCTCACAAGCTCTCCTGCTCAGGCTTAGCTTCAAATCATGATCCTCAGATCTCAGCCTCCTGAGTAGCAAGGACTACAGATGTGAGCTACCAGCACCTGGCTCCCTTAGAGATTTTTTTCCTGTTAAAAAATGATATTATCAATATTATAAAGATGATTTACAGAGGGCTTACAGTTACCTGTCAGGTAAAGAGTACATTTCTTTTTGGACAGTGTCATCCCTTCTATCACTTTAACCCAGTTTTCCCTCCCATCTTCACGCACAAATTATATAGTTCATTTTCAATGTAGAGTCTAGTGAATACCATCGCTGCGTTTGTTCACTCTTTGTCCCTCCAGTTCTGAGCCCCCGTTGCCCTCCCAAAGATAGATAGACAAACAAACAAGACAAAATGAAAACAAAAATGACAACAATGGAAACAAAACCCTCTTGTTTCCATTTCCTGGAGTTCATTTTGATAACCATATTGTCAGAGGCACACAAACACTGTGCCTTTGTGTTCCTCCTCTAGGAGTGTCTTCCTTTGGTCTTACTCTGTGTGGATGCCTGGGATCCTGAATAACTTATCATGTCACTTACAGCTTTTTAAAAGCACATATCTGATCTGACACCTATTTCTGTCCACTCTATTTACTGTTCAATGATTTCCCATTGCTGTATAGGATACAATCCAAAATCAACATGGCATGGTGTGACCTTTGCCCACCTATCCTATGCTGTTTCCTTCCTTGCATATACTTTGTTTCAGCTCCACTACTGGCCTTTCCTTTCCTGGAAGATGCCCTCATGCCTGTGTTAGCCACGGCAGCTTGGCAAAGGTTTGTCTCTGCTCACAGAGTTAACCCTTGTCCTGCTCTGAAGCTCTGACATTAAACATCACTTCTTCTAAGAGGTCTTGTCTGAGCCTTTGACTCCCATAAGAAACCAGGCCCCTTCTAGGCCCTGAAGCACTTGTTACGGTTTGTTGATAAGCCATAAAACCCTTCCCACTGGACCAGAAGCTTCATGAGTCCCTATTAACTGCACTGTCTGCCCCATTTCCCCCACGCTGGCCAGAATGGGTGTGAGAACATTCATTGAGGGCAATGCTGTGAATGGCAGAGCCAGCAAGACCCAAGGTGACAAATCAACGGTCCTCTAATGCTTCTTTCTACCTTGATAACCAGTTGAGGAGTCAGAGTCTTAGAAAGGATGAACAACTTGTCAGTTTAGGCCCAGAGCTCTCCACCTCCTCGCTCTCCAACCAGCCCTTCAGCCCCATCTGCTCTCATTTATAAGAAAGTCCCAAATCCCAGGGCTGGACGTTGGCTGATGTTTGAAGGAAGACAGGTTAGGAAGCAAAACATCAAGCCTTGGATGATATGATTTTAATTTGGAAGAGAAGGGGTTCATACCCAGAGGGTGTTCCCTCTCCGGACTGATGGGTGATGTGGACACACACCTGGAAGGTGAGGCCCATCATCTCCCCAACAGTTATCTCTGCTTGTCCTTGGACTTGGACTCCATGATGTCTCCTCTTATTTTGGGTCCTGAGCATTCTTGGTCATGAACTGGGTGCTTGCTGCAGGCTCATTCAGCTGATAGCGGGTCAGAAAGCTGTCCATTTTCCAAGAGCCTAGAAGAACAGATAGATAGAACACAGGGAGGCAGTGAGAGAGAACTCTGTTCTTGAGAGCCGGGAGCGGCCTGACAGGGGAGACAGCAGATGATGGCCTTGGCCACGGGGCTGTGGGGGACAATGCCTCTTGGCTCCTTGTTAGAGGTGGCCCATGGATGTTCACACAGCCCTTGAGAAGTGGCAGAGGGTTAGGTGCCTGCTTGTTAGAGGATGAACCAAAGCCATCTTGGGCTTCCTTCTCCAGGGCCCTTTATTTAGCACATTTGTCTTTATATCTAGGCAGAAAGGAAATGCTAGTCGGTGAGCAGTTCGCCCTCTCTACCCATACCCTTTTCCCCATGGATTTCCTGACCCCATGACTGAAGACCCATGACACCCACTCATCTTAGCTGCTGGGGCTATATGGTGGGGATCTATGCCCTGTCTACAGACGTCTCCTCCGGACTCCCACTGACCCCTGCAACCGAGCTTCTTTCCTCAGGTGGAGGTAGAGGGACAGCACTTGGATCTCTGGAGGGGCAGGGACAGAGGGAGACACATCCCTAGGCTGGGGGTTGGAGAAGTCCAGCCACTGCCCAGGCTGGAGGGGACCTCAGAGGGGAGCCAACCCAACAGGGGTACATCTAGGGCAAGTGTGGACACGCAGGGTAAGCAGGGCACAGCCCCGGGCACTGGGGAGAGGCTGAGGAAACTGGTCAGAGGCATTTTCCCACGCTCTTGTTTCCTAAACCCTGAGCCTCGGGCACCCTGTGTCAATGGTTGCCAGGAAAATAAAGGAAGCCTCGGTAAGTTTGGATATCAGATAAGCAGCAAAAGGTTGGTTGTGTAAGCGTATCCCACCTGTTGTGTGGGGTGCACTAAAGTTTTATTTTTCAGTTTTTACTGTTTATCTGAAATTTAAATTGAGGTGGAGTTTACATGTGTCCTGCAGTTTCTTGTGCTTTTGGTGTTTGTTGGTTTTTTGTTTTTTGTTTTTGGTTGGTAGTGGCAGTGGGGCTTGAACTCTGGGCTTGGGTGCTGTTCCTGCGCTCTTCAGCTGAAGGCGAGTGCTCCACTGCTTGAGCCACAGCGCCACTTCTGGTTTTCTAGTGGTTTATTGGAGATAAGAGTCCCTCGGACTTTCCTGCCCGGGCTGGCTTTGAACCGCGATCCTCAGATCGCAGCCTCTTGAGTAGCTAGGATTACAGGTGTGAGCCACCGGCGCCAGCATGTTGGTTCTTTTTGTTAGCAATGGGTGGAGAAAGCTCTTGGGGAAGGCCTTGTCCAGAGCAGAGCAAGATCAGATATGGAAGAGATGCTGGAGACCAGTCATCTAGTCATTTAGTTCTTTTTTTCCCCTCACCCTCCCTACCCCCTTTTTTTCCTTTAGTATTGGGGATTGAACTCAGGGCCTCACACATGCTAGGTTAACACTGCTGCTTAAGCCACATCCCAGACCATTTATTATTTGTATTTGAGAGGCGCTATGTCTTAGGCCCAGGTGGCCTCCAACTCCTGTTCCTTCTGCTTTTGCCTCTTGAGGAGCTGGGATTACAGGCATCCGTTCCTGGCCAAGATCAGTCATTTCTGATACCAAGACAGATAAGGGAAAGGAGCTAAGAGCCTAGAAGTTCTCTTAGACTCACCCAAGATTCACAGGCCGCTGTGTGTACACCTACACCCTCCTTTTCATAAAGACAGAGAAATTGAGTCTATCTTAATATTCTTCCCAGAGCTCTCCTTCCCTCCCAGGGGTGATTGGCATTGCAAAGATGTTCCAAAGGGCAGAACTATTTATTTATGTTGCTGCTGGTGCTGGGGCTTGTACTCAGGGCCCGGACAATGACATCCCCGAGCTTTCTTTGCTCAAGGCTAGCACTCTATCACTTGAGAAACAGCTCTATGTCTGGCTTTTTGGTAGTTTAATTGGAGATAAGAGTCTCAGGGACTTTTCTACCTGGGCTAGCTTTGAACTGAGACCCTCAGAGCTCAGCTTCCTGAGGAGCTAGGATTATAGGTAGGAGCCACTGGTGCCTGGCTAGGCCAGGACAATTTTAATCTCAAAGTCAAGCAGGCACAAGCACAATAACAACAGTACTCCCCTGTAGGACTTCCTGTGTGCCTGGTGGTGCTCCAGGAGCTATTTACACACTAACATTGGGAACCACAGAGGGAAGGGGGGATGGAGCTCCAGTGAGGAAGCTCTTAGAGGGCACAGATGTGGGCAAGGCCCTTTGACATTCCCTCAGTGCTGTCTTACCCAGCAACTATGGGCCCAGGCCTCGAGAGAGGGGGGACTTGCAGGAGTGTCCTGGAGGCAGGGTGACCCAAGTGCTAAGTACTTGACCTTAGATGGATGCTAGCTGCACTAGGTACTTCCATGGTACAATTGGTGTCCTTCCTGGTACAACCTTTGTAGGCCAGGATGTATGTACGCATACATACATACATATGTGTATGTACCCCAGTGTGCATGTGTGTGTATGTGTGTGTGTGCACATGTGTGCATGCCAGGGAAAAAGCTCATGGTGAATCGGTGCAGGGCACACCCAAGGCGACAAGGTGGCTTTCCCCCTCAAGGAGGGCAGGAAGGAACCTGGGTGGCAACGAAGGAATTGAAACCCATCACGAGATCAGGGCAGGCGGGTGGAAAGAAATCCCCTGTACCCGCATGAGCCCTCATTTGCCTCACCTCGTGCCAGACAGCGAGGCCTCCCTGAGCTACAAGATGCCTCCTGCGTGCATCCTGTGACCCCGGAGCCTCAGGCTCCTGCTCAGCCCCATTGCCAACTGTCCTGTGGTTCTCCGCATCTTGGGCAGCTGCTGCACAAAGTCAGGCCCTAGCGTCTGGCCGCCTCCTTCTCTGGCTCACTCAGGACTCCTCACAGCCCCCACTAGTTTCCTGCCACACAGGGCAAGAGGAACTGACCCCAAGCAAGTTCTTGAAGAAAGAGGGGGTGAGTCAGGCCCTCAGGGGCGTGTGGGGAGAGATGAGGAGCTGTGGCTTCCGTGGTCACCACTCAGAGGAAAACCCCTTCCTGTATGGCACTGCTCTGTCCCTGAGCTGCAGGAGGCCCCTGCCATGCAGGAAGGGGGCGGGATGGCTGCACCGGTAGCCCGCCAGACTCTTCCTGCCACAGGGGAGAGGCTTCCAGAAGGAGGCGGCCTCTGGTGTTCTGGAGCCTTCCAGCAGGGGCCTGGTCCCCTGGGGTGGCCCCTATCTTGTAGAGCCAGCTCCAGCAGCCCTGTCTGGCCGTCACCCCCTCATTTACTGGCCAGTGCTGAGGTTAGAGGAGCTAGGGTGAAGTTCAGCGATGTCTTGTGGGAGGGGACGAAGGGAGAGTAAGGAAAGCTCCTCTAAAAGCCAGGGGTTCTGTATGCCTGACCTGCTGAGCACCAGCAAGCTGCAGGGATTGTCTGGGAGCAGTTCTTGGGAGTGATAGTTAGACATGGCCTGGGGCACGTGTTGACACTCGCTTTGGATCTATGGAGCTGGCTTTGCCTGGTTTGGAGGTGGTTATTGGATACTCCTGGCCAGCTTTGTTGGGCCTGTCAGGGCTAAGCAGGCCTGGGGAGACTGGGAAGGTGATGCTCTAACTAGTCTAGTCCCCACCCCCTTGCAGGACTGAGAAGAACGGGGCCATCAGATGCAGAGTGTGTGTGCTGTGAGCTGAGGGGGCAGGGCCTCCCTAGGCCTCTGTCAGGCATGGGAGGTGGTGGCTTCTTTATCCAATCTCACTCTTGCCCTCCATGAGTTCCAGGTGTGTGTGTGTGTGTGTGTGTATGTGTGTGTGTGTGTGTGTGTGTGTGTGTACGCACGCGCGCGTGCCAATATTAGGACTCTAACTGGGGGCCTTGAGCTCTTGCTTGGCTTTTTTGCTGAAGGTTGATGCTTTTCAACTTGGGCCATACCTCTACTTCAGGCTTTTTGTTGATTAATTGGAGATAAGAGTCTCCAAAGACTTTTCTGCCTGGGCTGGCTTTGAATTGTGAACCTCAGGTCTCAGTCTCCTGAGTAGCGAGGATTATTGGTGTGAGCCACTGGTGCCCGGCCTCCATGAGTTTCTGATGTAACATAATTAACACAAGGTAAATTACAAACCAATCCTTGGAAGGGAGGCCTTAGTCAGGGCACTGCTGCCCAGAGTCTCTTTAATAGCCTCATTCCTAGGTCCCCTGCCAGCCTAGGACAGCTGCCTGGTCCATTCTAGCCAACAAACGTTTCCCACCTGAATTGCTACTTGGTCCTTCCCTGGTGGCCTTGAAGTATGCTTTCCTCTCAGTCTGGGATGTAAGAGTTGGGAGGCCGATGGAGGCAGGCCTCCATTCAGGTGAACGAGAGAGCAAGGCACGGAGTGCTGAACCCTTGGCAGTTGGCCCTCTGCCCTGGGCAGCTGTTGCAGTGACCCAGGTTATGATTCTGAGCTGCCCTGTGCCTCCAGGCTATGGCCAACTAAGATCCATACCCTTTTCCCCCCTCCCCTCCCCCCTGTTCCACTCTATCACCTGGCAGGTCACCACTTCTGGTCAGGGGACAGAAGTGGCCCTGAAGAAAACAACAGGAATCCAACTCCAACCTAATAACCGCCCCACGAGAGCCAGGCTCAGGTCTGTAATTTGTCTGGCTCATCGGGGCTGGCTGCAATGATGGAACGCTGATGCCTTTCTGCGGAGATTAATGATGTCCTGGCACTGGTAGGCGGGAGGCCTGAGCCTTTTATTTTTTGTGCCATTAAATGACATCCACAGACTTTCACTGAGGAGCTGAAAAGCCCTCGTTCCATCACATCCAATTACTCCTAGAGCGTATTTGCTGAGTGGCTGATCCAGCTGACTTGAGAGGCTTTGGGATAGAAGGACCACTGGGACTTTGGTTTGAGTGAGCAGGAGAGAGGCTGGGCCATTCCAGGATAGCAAGGAGCTACCCAGTCTCCTCTGGAGGGGAGAACCCAGGAGGACTGGCGAGTAGGGCACAGGCTCTACCCCTGGGGCCTCTGCCTTGCTCTGGAAGGCTGACT